CAACGAGCTTAAAGGCCTTACCTGTTCAACGAGCTTAAAGACCTTACCTGTTGTATAAGCTTAAAGACCTTACCTGTTGAACGAGCTTAGAGACCTTACCTGTTGATCAACCTTAAAGACCTTACCTGTTGATCAACCTTAAAGACCTTACCTGTTGAACAAGCTTAAAGACCTTACCTGTTGACCAACCTTAAAGACCTTACCTGTTGATCAACCTTAAAGACCTTACCTGTTGATCAACCTTAAAGACCTTACCTGTTGATCAACCTTAAAGACCTTACCCGTTGATCAACCTTAAAGACCTTACCCGTTGATCAACCTTAAAGACCTTACCTGTTGATCAACCTTAAAGACCTTACCCGTTGACCAACCTTAAAGACCTCACCTGTTGAACGTATTACTCACCTGTGGCTTATATCAAGGTTAGCGCCCGGACACACACACACACACACACACACACACACACACACAAAAGTACGTAGAGAAGGTTTACACGAGGTCCCTGGCAGCTGTGAGCACATCCAAACGTGACGCAGTTTGAGATGAAGCCCCTAACTGCTGGGAGCCTCTCGCCAAACTCCCTCACTTCTCACCAACACCTCCCTCACTTCTCACCAACGCCTCCTCACTTCTCACCAACACCTCCCTCACTTCTCACCAACACCTCCCTCACTTCTCACCAACACCTCCCTCACTTCTCACCAACACCTCCTCACTTCTCCTACCACCTCCCTCACTTCACCAACACCTCCTACTTCTCACCAACACCTCCCTCACTTCTCACAACACCTCCCTCACTTCTCACACCAACACCTTGAACGCAAAACACACCTTCAAATCCATTAGCTCCTTCGTATTTTAGTCTCAAGAAAATACACAGCAGCGTCCAACTCTCATAGACTCGTACGATAAAATAATCCTCGTAAGTGAAGGTTAATGTTATCAAGTTGATGGACGATAAAACACAGAAAGGATCGTTCAGATATGTATAAGCTTTGTGTTTACTATCGTCTCCTGGTGTTTTAATTCCTTATACTCACGTCGTACAGAGGATGTTATGTATGTTATTAAAGCACCGTTTTATTTGGTGTGTGTGGGCTGGGGGCGTGTGTGGGTGGGCGTGTGTGGGTGGGCGTGTGTGTGGGTGGGGGAGGGGGTGTGGGGAGGGTGTTATTTCCTCTGCGGTATTATGTATCAAATTACGAGACATTAATATTATGAAACACCTGTTGGACAGATGTTACAGGTGGTACAGGTGTGAGTGGACAGGTGTTACAGATGTGAGGGACAGGTGTTACAGATGTGAGGACAGGTTAACAGATGTGAGACAGGTGTTACAGATGTGAGTGGACAGGTGTTACAAAATGAGTGGACAGGTGTTACAGATGTGAGTAGACAGGTGTTACAGGATGAGGGACAGGTGTTACAGATGAGTGGACAGGTGTAGATGTGGAGTGGACAGGTGTAACAAATGTGGAGGGACAGGTGTTACATATGTGAGTGGACAGGTGTTACAGATGTGAGTGGACAGGTGTTACAGATGTGAGTGGTTACCGTCTGGGGCCCACTTCCGGTACCGTCGCAACTCCTGTCCTTTTACGTGTTAAAGGTCACCAGTTGTGTGTTTGTTTGTTTGTTTACCTGTCACCTGGATAAACAAGGCGCTTCCTGTGATCTTGTTTACTGTGTGTTTGTTTTTCTTTCGTGTGTGTGTGTGTGTGTTTGTGTGTGGTTTTGTTTTTTCTCATTTGTTTTTGTGGTTTGTATGTTGTGTTTGTATGTGACTTACTGTGTTTGTTTACGTGTGTGTGTGTGACTCCTTATTATGTTTCCTTTGTTTACATTTGTTTGTGATGTTTGGTTTTTTTACTTGTTTTTTTTTTTGTATTGTTTATGTGTTTTGTTTTTGTTGCGGTTGTTTGTAGTGTTTTTTCTCTCATTCGTGTGTTTGGTTTTATGGTGTCACTAATGTGGTTTGCTTAGTTAAAGTCGTTTGTTTAGTTAAAGTCGTTTGTTTGTGTTTTTGTATGTGTATTTTGTGTGTGTTTTATTATCATTCTCATACCTTCATCATCATCATCATCATCATCATCATCATTAATAACCTTATGTTTATATAATTACCAACTAATTAATTTTTTCATATTATTTTTCCAGGTAAGTGTCCGTGCGTCGCAGGTGGCTGGCTGCACGTCCGTAAGTACTGTATGTCCGTATGTCTGTACGTGGGAAGAGTTTACAGGCCTGTACGTTAATGCGAACATGGCTATTGGTTGACTTTAATACCTGTGCGTTTATTTGTGTATGTATGTATGTATGTATGTATGTATACGTATGTATGTATGTATGTATGTATGTGTATGTATGTATGTATGTATGTATGTGATGCTGTTTTATTCAGTATTACGGTATTTATCACAATATAGCGATATATACACGTACGTGGTGGTGGTGGTGTGTGTGTAATAATAATAATAATAATAATAATAATAATAATAATAATAATAATAATAAACGGTTTATTAGAGCGCAGCCGTGGCTGAAAATATACAGACTTACATTTGATTTAGACATAATGATATATGCATTGAATACAATTACAGGGCTGTACAGTACATAAACCAAAGAGTTGTTTATTATTTTAAAATAGATGGGATGGTGCTGTTCTTATATCTATCGGTGCGGGCTCTTATGGGCTGAATTTTGTTATAGTGGCGGACTGCGCGAGTTGGGTGGGGTAGGTGGCAGGAGGTGGCGATGATGAGGTGGTAGTAGTCCACTGCCAAACCTTTCCAGTGCTTGGTGGTGGAGGTCACTGAGGATGGCATTTCCAGGGTGGAGAGAGCGTTGGTGTAGCCGAGTATTCTGCGCCGAGCATGATTCTCAGCACTTCCTTCTGTACCTTCTAGCTGACGTTGTTGGGTGATGAGAGAAGACGTCCAGGCTGGTGACGCATACGTTAGTTTGGGGAGAATAAAGGCGTTGTAGATGGTCCCCAGCACTGGCGTGGTGTCCCAAGTGACCTAAGTCTTCGTAGCATGTAGAGAGCGGTATGAGGCTGCCTTGACTGTGTTATTTACATGGGCCTTCCAGTCAAGTTTGTTGTCTGGTTACGCCCAGCAGTTTGGCAGACTGCACCAGCTGGAGAGGATGGGCACCCATGTGACTGCTGGGGCTTGCACTGGAGTGGTGGCGGTATTGATGTGCATGACTACGGTTTTGGTGTGTTGATGGTGACCTTGTTCTCCGTAGTCCATGCCTGTAGCCTGTCCAGGGTGCCTTGTAGCGATGAGTAGTCTGGTGCGGTGTTGTCCACTGAAACCCCCCACAGTGCAGTCATCCACGTACTTCCACCTGTGAGGAGTGTCCGATAGAGCGTCGTTGATCAGATGAGGAAGCACAGTGTCCCATCTTGGTACCTGGGGAACACCGCAGGTGGGGTGTTGAATGTAGAGACCAAGCCCTGATACCTCACTGCTTGGCGACGTCCACCTAGCAAATCAGTGTGTGTGTGTGTGTGTGTGCGTGCGGCGTGCGTGCGTGCGTGTGTGGTGTATGTGTAAGTGCAATCTCACCTGGAGTGTGATTGCATTTGAGTGCGTGATTGCATGATTGTATCTCTCACACCGAACCACCAATGCGGGTAGATAACGGAATCACCACCTTGGGACGACCTATGTACGACACGACACTGAAGAAAGTGATTGTAGGAAGGCGACACACACAGGAGGGGGGTAGTGATTACATATAGCTCGACATGAACTCTTGTAATTAGGTCACGGCGATTAATTATTGAGGACCTGAGTGATTGATTGGTGGATAGATGGGGCAAGTGAATGGATAGATGGATGGATTGATGTATGGATAGATGAATAAATGATTGAATGGATGGATAGATGGATTCTGAGTTGACTTCCGAATGATCAATTGCTGTTATTGGGGTTTGAGGGCTGATGGATGAGTGGATCATTGCCTAGAGTAACATCGCACGCAACATCACGGACGAATTTTAAACATTGGTGTTATAAGGACAGTCTGTCAGCATATGATTAGAGAGAGAGAGAGAGAGAGAGAGAGAGAGAGAGAGAGAGAGAGAGAGAGAGAGAGAGAGAGAGAGAGAGAGAGAGAGAGAGACTTTTCCTTTTTCTTTCTCTCTCTTATCATATACAAGGTAAACAATTACAATGCCGCCAACCAGATTATAATTCCAAAACGTTGATGTGAAGGTAAATTGATCGTTAGGGGGAGTTATGAAGAGGTAGTTCGGGTCACCTGAAGATTAGCCTCCTCCACTCTCCGCTTACTTCATGTTGTGGATTTAAGCACACCCAACCTAACTTAACCTAATCTAACCTAGCCTAATCGTCTAACCTCAACCTAACGTGGTCTAACTTATTCTAATCAAACCTAACCTAACCTAACCCTAACCTAACCTACATGTGTTGTGAGTTGTGGTCCTATGTACATTTATCTACCATAAATTTGATACTTGCTTAGAAATTCTTGGCTCATAAACACACACACACAACACGCGCGCGAGCCTGACTCATAACCGCAATTAAAAGTCTCCAAACCGCATTTTCCGGCTCACACCTCACACTTTCTCCCTGAACCGTAATTTTTCCACCACAACCACATTTCTCCTCGTAACCGCAGTTTGTTCCCGGGCATAAGGACCTTGAGTACAGACACAGGTTAAAGCATCTGAATTTGCACTCCCTCGAGAGACGTACAGTGAGGGGGCGATATGTATAAATGGAAGTCAAGACCGCTGCTGTTTCCTCCATTCTTATGTTCTTGATCACAGCTACAATTTTCTTCCTCAAACTGCGATCTCACCCCGTCAACCACAATTTCCCCACAATCACCATTTTCCCCCACAATCACAATATCCATCACAACCACCACATCCCCCTCACAACCACCATTTTCCTTACAACCACAACCTCATCTCTCTCAACTGCGGTATTGTCAAACGGGTTGTATCGGGGTTGTATAAGATGTGTATTAACACAAGGTGAGCTTGCATGATGGTCGACGTAAATACTTGAGAGGTGAATGACTGCCAAAGTGACACCTGGGTCCTTATAAGAACACCCATGGTCACTAGCTCTAAAAGAGCAGGGAAGCTGTCAATGTACAATGTAGTTAAGTTACCACTTATGTAGTCACTTATGTACAGTCACGTATGTACAGTTGAGTCGGTTTAGTGGCCGACCAGCAGCTAGGAGGCTCACAGTCGGTGTGTGTGTAATAATTATTCTGACAGACGACATGTTGGGTTCGCTGTGGTGGGATGTGATGTTGTCCTGCACAGAGAGCCCAGATGGGTCCCCAGTCATATGAGGCCCCACAGCACCCCCCAGTCATACAGGGCACTCCAGTCATACAGGGCCCCCACACAGGCCCCAGCCATCACAGGGCCCCCAGTCACAGGGCACTCCAGTCACACAGGGCCCCCAGTCATACAGGGCCCCTGAGTCACACAGGGACCCCAGTCATACAGGGACCCTAGTCATAGGGACCCCAGTCATACAGGACCCCCAGTCATAAGAGGCCTCAACTCATAACAGGCCCCCCCAATCATACAGGGCCCCCAATCATACAGGGCCCCCAAGTCATACAGGGCCCCAGCCACACAGGGCTCCAGTCATACAGGCCTTCAGTCATACAGGGCCCCCAGTCATACAGGGCCCCCAGCCATACAGAGGGCCCCCAGCCACACAGGGCCCCCAGTCATACAGGGCCTCCAGTCATACAGGGCCCCCAGTCATACAGGGCCCCCCAGACATACAGGGCCTCCAGTCATGCAGGGCCCCCAGTCACACAGAGCCCCAGCCATACAGGGCCCCAGTCACACAGGGCCCCAGCTCACAGGCTTCCAGTCACACAGGGCCCCCAGTCATGCAGGGCCCCCAGCCACAGGGCCCCCAGTCATACAGGGGCCCCCAGCCATACAGGCCCAGTCATACAGGGCCCCCAGTCATACAGGGCCTCCAGTCACAGGGCCCCCAGCCATACAGGGCCCCCAAATAGCAGTGGCCCCAGCCACACAGGGCCCCCAGCCACACAGGGCCTCCAGTCACACAGGGCCCCAGTCACACAGGCCCCCAGCCCACAGGGGCCCCAGCCACAGGGCCCCCAGTCATCACAGGGCCCCTCAGCCACACAGGGCCTCCAGCCACAGGGCCCCAGTCACACAGGGCCCCAGCCACACAGGGCCTCCACACATACAGGGGCCCCAGTCATACAGCCCCCCAGTCACAGGCCCCCCAGCCATACAGGGCCTCCAGTCATACAGGGCCCCCAGTCATACAGAGCCCCAGTCACACAGGGCCCCCAGTCAAGCAGGGCCCCCAGTCATACAGGGCCCCCAGTCATACAGGGGCCCCAGTCATACAGGGGCCTCCAGTCATACAGGGCCCCCAGTCACAGGGCCCAGTCATACAGGGCCCCCCAGTCTCATACAGGGGCCCAGTCACACAGGGCCCCCAGCCACAGAGGGCCCCAGTCACACAGGCCCCCAGTCACTACAGGGCCCCAGTCACACAGGGCCCCCCACAGCACAGGGCTCCAGCCCACACAGGGCCCCAGTCATACAGGGCCTCCAGTCACACAGGCCCCCAGTCATACAGGGCCCAGTCACACAGGGCCCCCAGTCATACAGGGCCCCCAGTCATACAGGGCCTCAGTCACACAGGGCCTCCAGTCATACAGGGCCTCCACACAGGGCCCCAGTCATACAGGGCCCCAGTCATACAGGGCCTCCAGTCATACAGGGCCCCCAGTCATGCAGGCCCCAGTCACACAGGGCCCCCCCAGTCACACAGGGCCCCCAGTCACACAGGGCCCCCAGTCAAACAGGGCTCCAGTCATACAGGGCCCCCAGTCGACAGGGCTCCAGTCACAAGAGGGCCCCCCAGCACAGGCCCAGTCATACAGGGCCCCCAGTCACATACAGGGCCTCCAGCACAGAGCCCAGTCACAGGGCCCCAGCTCAACAGGACCCCCAGCCACACAGGGCTCCAGTCACACAGGGCCCCCCAGTCACACAGGGCCCCCAGTCATACAGAGCCCCAGTCATACAGAGCCCCCAGTCATACAGGGCGCCCCAGTCATGAGGGCCCCAGCCAACAGAGCCCAGTCATACAGGGCCCCCAGTCATACAGGGCCCCCAGTCAACAGGGCCCCCAGCCATACAGGGCCTCCAGACACAGGGCCCCCAGTCATACAGAGCCCCCAGCCACAGAGCCCCCAGCCATACAGGGCCTCCAGTCAGCAGGGCCCCCAGTCACAGGGCCCCAGAACATACACAGAGCCCCAGTCACACAGGGCCCCCAGTCATACAGGGGCCCCCAGCCACAGGGCCCCCAGCCATACAGGGCCCCAGTCACACAGGGCCCCAGCTCAACAGAGGCACCAGCCACAGACAGGGCCCCAGTCACAGGGCCCCCCCCAGCCACACAGAGCCCCCCAGCCACACAGGGCCTCCAGTCACACAGGGCCCCAGCCATACAGAGCCTCAAGTCATCACAGGGCCCCCCAGCCATACAGAGCCCCCACAGCCATACAGGGCCTCCAGTCACACACAGGGCCCCACACAGGGCCCCTCCAGTCATGCAGGGCCCCAGTCATACAGAGCCCCCAGCCATACACAGGGCCCAGTCATGCAGGGCCCCCAGTCATGCAGAGCCCAGCCATACAGGGCCTCCAGTCATGCAGGGCCCCAGCCATACAGGGCCTCCAGTCATGCAGGGCCCCCCAGCTGCTGGCAGAGCCTCCAGCCATTCAGGGCCTCCAGTCATGCAGGCCCCCAGTCAACAGAGCCCCCAGCCACACAGGGCCTCCAGTCATGCAGGGCCCCAGCCACAGGCCTCCCCAGTCATGCAGGGCCCCCCAGTCAATGGCAGGGCCTCCAGTCATACAGGGCCTCCCAGTCACAGAGCCCTTAGCCACACAGGGCCCCAGTCACACAGAGCCCCCAGTCATACAGGGCCTCCAGTCATACAGGGCCTCCAGTCACACAGGGCCCCCAGCCATACAGGGCCCCCAGTCATGCAGGGCCCCAGCCACACAGGCCCCCAGCTACAGGGCCTCCAGTCAACAGAGCCCCCAGTCATACAGGACCCCCCAGCCATACAGGGCCTCCAGTCATACAGAGCCCCCAGCCACAGGGCCTCCAGCCACAGGCCCCCCAGCCACAGGGCCCTCCAGCCATACATGAGCCCCCCAGCCATACAGGGCCCCCTGTCACACAGGGGCCCCAGCCACACAGGGCCTCCAGTCATACAGTGCCTCCAGCCATACAGGGCCCTCCAGTCATACAGGGCCTCCAGTCACAGGGCCTCCAGTCATGCAGGGCCCCCAGTCATCACAGGGCCTCCAGTCATGCAGGGCCTCCAGCCAGCAGGGCCCCCAGCCACAGGGCCTCCAGTCATGCAGGGCCCCAGCCACACAGGGCCTCCAGTCACAGGGCTTCCAGTCATGCAGGGCCCCCCAGCCACAGAGCCCCCAGCCACACAGGGCTCTCCAGTCATGCAGGGCCCCCAGCCATACAGAGCCCCGAACACACAGAGTGCCCAGTCACACAGGGCCTCCAGTCATGCAGGGCCCCCAGACACAGGGCCCCAGTCACACAGAGCCCCAGCCACAGGGCCTCCAGTCATGCAGGGCCCCAGCCATACAGAGCCCCCAGCCAACAGAGGGCCCCAGTCATGCAGGGCCCCCAGCCATACAGGGCCTCCAGCCACACAGAGCCCCCCAGCCACATGCAGGGCCTCCAGTCATGCAGGGCCCCAGCCACAGAGCCCCCAGCCACAAGGGCCTCCATCATGCAGGGCCCCAGTCATACAGAGCCCCAGCCATACAGGCCCAGTCATGCAGGGCCCCCCAGCCATACAGGGCCTCCAGTCATGCAGGGCCCCCAGCCATACAGAGCTCTCCAGCCATACAGGGCTCAGCCACGCAGGGCCCTCAGCCATACAGGAGCCCCCAGCCATACAGGGCCTCCAGCAGGGCCCCAGCCATACAGGGCCTCCAGTCACTGCAGGGCCCCCAGCGCCAGCTCAGAGCCCCAGCCACACAGGCCCTCCATCATGCAGGGCCCCCAGCCACACAGAGCCCCCAGTCATACAGGGCCTCCAGTCATGCAGGGCCCCCAGCCATACAGGGCCTCCAGTCATGCAGGGCCCCCCAGCCATCACAGGGCCTCCAGTCCATGCAGAGAGCCCCCCAGCCACAGCCTCCAGTCATGCAGGCCCCCAGCCATACAGAGCTCCGCAAGCCACACAGGGCCCCCAGCATGAGGGCCTCCACAGCCATACAGAGCCCCCAGCCAACAGGGGCCCCAGTCATCAGCAGGGGCCCCAGTCAGCACAGAGCCTCCCAGCCATACAGGGCTCTCCAGCCATGCAGGGCCCCCCAGCCATACAGGGGCCCAGTCACACAGAGCACCCCCAGCCATACAGGGCCTCCAGTCATGCAGGGCCCCCAGCCATACAGGCCTCCTGATCATAGCAGGGCCCCCCAGCCACACAGGGCTCCAGTCATGCAGGGCCCCAGCCACAGGGCTCCCAGTCATGCAGGGCCCCCAGTCACACAGAGCCCCCAGCCACACAGGGCCTCCAGTCATGCAGGGGCCCCCCAGCCACACAGGGCCTCCAGTCATGCAGGGCCCCAGCCACAGAGCCCCCCAGCCACACAGCCTCCAGTCAGCAGGCCCCCAGCCATACAGAGCCCCCCAGTCATACAGGGCCTCCATCATACAGGGGCCCCCAGCCATACAGAGCCCTAACACAGGGCTCTCAGTCATGCAGGGCCCCAGCCATACAGAGCCCCCAGTCATGCAGGGCCTCCAGTCACACAAGGCCCCAGCCATACAGGGCCCCCAGCCATACAGGGCCTCCAGTCATGCAGGGCCCCCACACACAGGGCCTCCAGTCATGCAGGCCCAGACACAGGCCCCCCAGTCACAGGGCCCCACACACAGGGCCCCAGCTCATACAGGGCCCCCAGCCACACAGGGCCTCCAGTCATGCAGGGCCCCCAGCCATACAGAGCCCCCAGTCATACCAGGGCCTCCAGTCACACAGGCCCCAGCCATTCAGGGCCTCCAGTCATGCAGGGGCCCCCAGCCATACAGGGCCTCCAGTCATGCAGGCCCCAGTCACACAGAGCCCCCAGCCACACACAGGGCCTCCAGTCATGCAGGGCCCCAGCCATACAGGGCCCAGTCATGCAGGGCCCCCAGCCACACACAGACCCCCAGTCACAGGGCCTCCCAGTCATACAGGGCCCCCAGCCACAGAGCCCCCAGTCATACAGGGCCCAGCCACAGGCCTCCAGTCATGCAGGGCCCCAGCCACAGGGGCCTCCAGTCATGCAGGGGCCCCCAGCCACAGGGCCCCCAGTCACAGGGCCTCCAGTCATACAGGCCTCCAGTCACAGGCCCCAGCCACACAGGCCTCCAGTCATGCAGAGCCCCCAGCCACACAGGGCCTCCAGTCATGCAGGGCCCCCAGCCACAGGGCCTCCAGTCATGCAGGCCCCAGCCACACAGGGCCCCCCAGTCATACAGGGCCTCCAGTCATACAGAGGCCTCCAGTCATACAGGGCCCCCAGCCACAGGGCCTCCAGTCATGCAGGGCCCCCAGCCATACAGTGCCCCCATTCATACAGAGCCCCAGCCATACAGGGCCTCCAGTCATGCAGGGCCCCAGCCACAGGGCCTCCAGTCATGCAGGGCCCCCCAGCCACAGGGCCCCCAGTCACACAGGCTCCAGTCATACAGGGCCCAGTCATACAGGGCCCCCAGCCAACAGGCCCAGTCATGCAGGGCCCCAGCCATACAGAGCCCCCAGTCATACAGGGCCTCCAGTCATACAGGGCCCCCAGCCATTCAGGGCCCTCCAGTCATGCAGGGCCCCAGCCATACAGGGCCCCAGTCATGCAGGGCCCCCAGTCATACAGAGTCCCCAGCCATACAGGGCCTCCAGTCATGCAGGGCCCCAGCCATACAGGGCCTCCAGTCATGCAGGGCCCCAGCCACAGAGCCCCAGTCATAGAGGGCCTCCCAGTCACACAGGGCCCCCAGCCATACAGAGCCCCCAGTCATACAGGGCCCACTGCTACAGGGGCCCCAGTCATGCAGGGCCCCCAGCCATACAGGGCCTCCAGTCATGCAGGGCCCCCAGCCATGCCAGGGCCCCAGTCACACAGGGCCTCCAGTCATACAGGCCTCCAGTCACACAGGGCCCCCAGCCATACAGGGCCTAGTCATGCAGAGCCCCCACATACAGGCCTCCAGTCATGCAGGCCCCCAGCCATACAGGGCCTCCAGTCATGCAGGGCCCCCAGCCATACAGGGCCCCCAGTCACAGGGCCTCCAGTCATACAGGGCCTCCAGTCATACAGGGCCCCCAGCCACAGGGCCTCCAGTCATGCAGGGGCCCCAGCCACAGTGCCCCCATTCATGCAGAGCCCCCAGCCACAGGGCCTCCAGTCATGCAGGGCCCCCAGCCACAGGGCCTCCAGTCATGCAGGGCCCCCAGCCACAGGGCCCCCAGTCATACACAGGGCTCCAGTCACACAGGGCCTCCAGTCACACAGGGCCCCCCAGCCATACAGGGCCCAGTCATGCAGGGCCCCAGCCATACAGGGCTCTCCAGTCATGCAGGGCCCCCAGCCAGCACAGGGCCTCCAGTCATGCAGGGCCCCAGCCATACAGAGCCCTAGCCATAGGGCCCAGTCATGCAGGGCCCCCAGCCATACAGGGCCTCCAGTCACAGGGCCCCCAGCCATACAGGGCCTCCAGTCATGCAGGGGCCCCCAGCCATACAGGGCCTCCAGTCATGCAGGGCCCCCAGCCATACAGGGCCTCCAGTCATGCAGGGCCCCATTACACAGAGCCCTTAGCCACACAGGGCTCCAGTCATGCAGGGCCCCCAGCCACACAGAGCCCTTAGCCATACAGGGGCCTCCAGTCACTGAGGGCCCCCAGCCATACAGGGCTCCAGTCATGTAGGGCCCCCAGCCACACAGGCCTCCAGCCATACAGAGCCCCAGTCATACAGGGCCCCCAGTCATACAGAACCCCCATCCATACAGAGCCTCAGCCGCCACAGGGCCTCCAGTCATGCAGGGCCCCCAGCCATGGGCCCCAGTCATACAGGGCCCCCAGTCATACAGAGCCTCCAGCCATACAGGGCCTCAGTCATGCAGGGCCCCCAGCTATACAGAGCCCTTAGCCACACAGGGCCTCCAGTCATGCCGGGGCCCCCAGCCACACAGAGGCCCTTAGCCATACAGGGCCTCCAGTCATGCAGGGCCCCCAGCCATACTGGGGCCTCCAGTCATGCAGGGCCCCAGCCACCCAGGGCCTCCAGCCAGCCAGAAGCCCCAGTCGCCTGGGGCTCATCCCAGAGCCCCAGCCATACAGAGCCCCAGTCATACAGGGCCCCCAGTCATGCAGGGCCCCCAGTCATGGGGCCCCAGTCGCACAGAGGCCCCCAGTCTCCAGAGCCCTTAGCCGCCTGGGGCCTCCAGTCATGCAGGCCCCCAGCCCAGCCAGAGAGCCCAGTGTACAGGGCCCCCAGTCATGCAGGGCCCCAGTCATACAGGGCCAGTCACACAGGGCTGATCGCACAGAGCCCTTAGCCACCAGGGGCCTCCAGTCATGCAGGGCCCCAGCCACTTAGGGCCTCAGTCATACAGGACCCCCAGTCATACAGAGCCCTTAGCCATACAGGGCCTCCAGTCATGGGGCCCCCCTGATCACCTAGGGCCTCAGTCACAGACCCCAGTCATACAGAGCCTTAGCCATACAGGGCCTCAGTCATCGGAGCGGCCCCCAGTCCACCGGGCCTCCAGTCATCACAGAGCCCCAGCCATACAGAGCCCTTAGCCATACAGGGCCTCCAGTCATCAGGGGCCCCCAGTCATACGAGGGCCCCCAGCCGCCTGAGGGCCCCCAGCCATACAGAGCCTGATCGCCTGGGGCCCCCAGTCGCCACAGGGCCCCCAGTCATACAGGGCCTCAGTCATACAGGGCCTCCAGTCATACAGGGCCTCAGTCATCACAGGGCCTCAGTCATACAGGGCCTCCAGTCATACAGGGCCCCCAGCCAGCCTGACCCCCAGTCCATACAGAGCCCTTAGCCATACAGGGCCTCCAGTCATGCAGGGCCCCCAGCCTACAGAGCCCCCCCAGTCATACAGGGCCCCAGTCATGCAGGGCCCCCAGTCATACAGAGGCCCCCAGTCATACAGGCCCCCAGTCTGCCAGAGCCCTTAGCCACCCAGGGCCTCCAGTCATGCGGGCCCCCAGCCAGCCAGGGGCTCCCAGTCATACAGAGCCAGTCATACAGGCGCCTTAGCCATACAGGGCCTCCAGTCATGCAGGGGCCCCCCAGCCATACAGGGCCTCCAGTCGACAGAACCCCCAGTCCACAGAGCCCTTGCCAACAGGGCCTCCAGTCCTGCAGGGCCCCCAGTCATAGGGGCCTCCAGTCATACAGAGCCCCCAGTCATACAGAAAGCCCTTACACACCAGGGCCTCCAGTCATGCAGGGGCCCCCCAGTCGCCAGGGCCCCAGTCATACAGAGCCCCCAGCCTCAGAGCCGCCCATACGGGGGCCTCCAGTCATCAGGGCCCCCAGTCATACAGGGCCCCCCAGCCATACAGGGCCCCCAGCCAACAGAGCCCCCCCAGTCATACAGGGCCTCAGTCACACAGGGCCCCAGTCACAGGGCCTCAGTCATACAGGGCCTCCAGTCATGCAGGGCCTCCAGTCACAGGGCCTCCAGTCATACAGGGCCTCCAGTCATGGGGCCCCCAGCCACACAGGCCCCAGCCATACAGGGCCTCCAGTCATGCAGGGCCCCCAGCCACCAGAGCCCCCAGCCATACAGGCCTCCAGTCATGCAGGGCCCCCAGCCATCCTGGGGCCTCAGTCATACGGGCCTCAGTCAACAGGGCCTCCAGTCATGCAGGGCCCAGTCATAATAGGCCCCCAACTCTGATCCAATCCTAATAGACTCTAACCCAAAACAAACTAAACCATTACAACTGATTAGGTTAATTTGGGTCCCATTTACAGTTAGCTAAGTTAGGTCAGGTCAAGTTAGGTTAGGTTAGGTCAAGTCAGGATAGGTCAAGTCAGGATAGGTCAAGTCAGGTTAGGTCTAGTCTGGTTAGGTCAAGTTAGGTCAGGTCAATTTAGATCAGGTCAAATTAGGTTAGGTTAAGCAAAGTTAGGTTAGCTTAAGTTGTTAGGTTATGATTAGGTCAAGTTAGGTTAGGTTAAGTTAGGTCAAGCTAAGTTAGGTTAAGGTAGGGCTCCTTTAACCAATCCTACCCAGTAGTTGAGGGGTTGGGGTGGTCGTGTTGTCATGGCTGTACAATATTATAGTAATGATCGTTTGAGAGAGTTAATGGTGGGAGGGAACTAATGAGTGCTGGATGTGAGTCAACGTTGGCGGGTCTCTTTTAATGCCGATGACACAATACCTGCGTCTTAGGTTCACCAGCCACTACTTATCTATAGTCATGTTTGGGTCAGTGTGTGTGTGCCTGTTTGTCTCTGTCTGTCTGTCTGTCTGAGAGAGAGAGAGAGAGAGAGAGAGAGTACTATATCTTGCAGCAAAACGGATCACCTAAAGATTCTTCCCCTCAGCTTATTTCACTTGAAGATTAACAACTCTATCGCTATCGTAACGTAATCTAACCCTCAGGTAGTGTTAGGGTGATTAATGTTCAGGTGACCCAACACAACATTCAGCGTCCGTTGCCACTTACACCCATGTTTACTGTAATAGAGCTCATGTTATATCTTGTCAGTTATATACATATTGTCTTAAGGTTATTATCTATCTGTGTAGAATAGTATATTATTTTAGGAAGCATCCGGGTACGACACGAGCCATGAGTCCAATCTGTTGTGTTTGTGTATAAAGGCGAAGATGATGGGTCGCACACTGTCAACAATGCCACGTGGATTTGTTTACATTTAACATCGAGCCATGGGACTGCGTCATCGCCAGCTTCAGGTTGTGTGTGTGGGCAGCAGTGTGTATGTGTGTGTGTGTGTGGGCAGCAGTGTGTATGTGTGTGTCAGCAGCGGTGTCATTACTCTTGTGACCGAGGATGATTCATCACCAGTATTTATGTTGGTGTAGTAACGCTGGTGACCGAGCTGTGTGACATTTTCTAATGAGGTCAATCCTTGTGAGGAACAGGAGCTGTACACTGCTGTTGTTGTTCTGGGACAGCTGTGGAGATGTATGTAAATAATATTCCTTTAATTACAAGTTCATCTTAAAGTGCTGCGCCAGTGTATAGATATTTTCTTTCGTGAGTGATTTAATTGTGAGTGAGTGAGTGAGTGAGGCGGCGTGTAGGGGTGTTGAGAAAGCTATAGAAACACAATAGAGATTTTCATGTTATTACAATATTGTGGAGTTTTTCCTATTGTTAATAATTATGACTCATCCGGGTACACCTCACAACACCTTAATGATGATATGCTTAACCCAATTAATTATATATATAGATTCCATTGTTATTCCGTAGTAGTCAAGGCTTCACTCAATATTGACTCATCATAATAGACAAACTCTTAAAATATGGAACCAAAACAAACACTCTGGGACTTGGGGTTTTCTCCGTGCATCTTACACCTCTTGACATATTTTATCGTTCACCTTACGCAGTGTTGGATCAGGTGACTCTTGGAGGGGGTGTGGGGGGTGATGACCTCAGAGTGCTTGACCTGCTGAAGTGGGAGACTACGGCTGTTGACCTAAATTTCCCCACACTTCATCTGAGCCGCTTTTTCCTCCCTCCTGGTCCTTGGTGGTGGTGAGGTCTTTGGTGGTGCTGAGGCTTTGGTGTTACTGAGGTCCTTGGTGGTGGTGAGGTCCCTTGGTGGTGGTGAGTAGGTGTGCCACGACTCAACTTAATAACGGTTAAGGAAATTACTACTTCAGCCAAAGGACTTTTTATGTATTAATTATAGACGCATCAGTTAGTCCCCTCACATTCAACACAATCAGTCGCTACACAATCAACTTAGCTCTTCAGTGCTTCGCTTGCTGCCTCCCCATCATCATCATCATCATCCCCATCCCCATCATCCTCCTCCCTTTCCTATCCTCCTTCAAGATATCCACACCTCTCCTCGCTTCTCTTCCTCATTTAACTCAACGTCGCTTCCTTCCCTCCCCGTCATCAAATCTTTTCCGTGTAATACGAGTATTTCCAGCTTCGACTCCCCACTACCTCCTCCCCACCACTACCTCCTCCCCACCACTACCTCCTCCCCACCACTACCTCCTCCCCGCCACTACTTCCTCCCCACCACTACCTCCTCCCCACCACTACTTCCTCCCCACCACTACCTCCTCCCCACCCTTACTTTAAAGGTCCACAAAGAGGTGAGATAGAAAACATAAGTAAACATAACATACCAGAACACAAACATTAAACTTTAAGAAACCGATAAACATTATGAGTAGTGAAGGATGTTTACATTGTAACTTTATTGCCTCTCTGCGCGCGCATGTGTGTGTGCACGCGCGCATGTGTGTGTGTGTGTGCATCGAGGCTACCATTATCCATGAACAACGGCGTTGGACTGGCCATGTTACCCGCAGGGACGACAGTAGACTGCCAAAGCAGCTACTTTACAGTCACCTAACGAATAGTAAACGTAACGCTGGCGGGCACCTGAAAAGGTGCCGAATCGACCCCCTTACCTGGGAGACGATACTCCACATGGCAACTCTTGGAGGATCACCACACGAGAAGGTGTTAACACTGTCGACTTAGCCCGACTGCAAACCGAGGCAGACAAGCGCCAGCGCCAGAAAGACGCTGCCGCCGCCACTCCCGCACTAGATGTAGCCCTCCACATGTGCAACGTATGGTTGATCGTCATGCTCGATTCCGGGTTGACAGCAAAGTAGTAGTAGTAATAGTAGTGTGTGTGTGTGTGTGTGTGTGTGTGTGTGTGTGTGGAGTATAATTGCTGCTATTCGAGTTTTATCCTTTTGTAGGGGATAAATTATGATCACACGAACGATAATTAGCCACCAGAGCTTATTTCTCCTGATGGTTAAAACACGCTAACGCTAATTAACCTAATCTGACCTAATCTAATGTAATTAATCTAAGGAAAAATTTCGGATTACCTGAAGGTTAGGCACTCCAGCTTCTTTCACCTGACGATTAAAACACCTAAAATCTAACCAACTCTAACTTAACCTCCCTCCAGGTAGCGTTAGGGCGTGTTTAACCTTCACGTAATCCAAAACTATAATTAATACTACTAACATAACACCTTTAAACGATAACATTAATTAAACATTAAAAAAACCCGTAAACACACGAGTTTTAAAAAGTTTGTGAAAAAAAATAAATATTACTCACGTCTCTTACATAACCCGGGTATATATATTACTCACGTCTCTTACATAACCCAGGTTTAACCACCGGACTCTTGAAGACGTCAGCCACCTCCTGCTGCATCACTGAGAGCGGAGGATTACGTACTATTCTGGGTCTACCTGATCATGGGAGAGAGATAGAGAGAGAGAGAGAGAGAGAGAGATTTTATTGGATCAAGTGTCTGAGATTATAATTGTGTTGATATACCTTTATGTATGTATGTATGTATGTATGTGTGTCTGTACCTAAGTATGTATGATCCATGGTAGGTGGGCGGGTACACAGGACCTTAGCACCGGTGCGTGTGAAGTGCGCTTGACTCTGGGGTTTTCCTTCCTCCTTTTGTGGGCCTCCGAAGCACTTCTGGGGTGGGGGGAGGGCTCTACGTGGTATGTTTGGGCTTCTACTGGGTAACTTAAGGGGTCTACGGGGTATATCTGGAGTCTGGGGTATATCTGGGGCATCTCTGGGGTCTTTTTGGTGTATCTTGGGGCATCTACGGGGTATCTGGGGAATTACGGGATATATCTAGGGGTCGTCTATGGGGCACCGGGGGGTTCCTTAAAGGTTCCAGTGGTGATGCCTGGCTTATTTCAGGTTTCCTTAAAGGTTCCAGTGGTGATGCCTTACTTATTTTAGGGTTCCTTAAAGGTTCCAGTGGTAATGCCTTACTTATTTTAGGGTTCCTTAAAGGTTCCAGTGGTGATGCCTGACTTATTTTAGGGTTCCTTAAAGGTTCCAGTGGTGATGCCTTACTTATTTTAGGGTTCCTTAAAGGCTCCAGTGGTGATGCCTTACTTATTTTAGGGTTCCTTAAAGGTTCCCGATTCAGTCAGTACCTTAAAGACTTTCGCATTTTTTTAAGGTTCCTTTCGTGGACTGAAGAGAAATCGTATTCGCGTCTTTTTTAAGGATTTTAAGTGACGTTTCCGGTAGGCTCTAGTGGGGGTTCCTTAGACCACCTCGGGGGAGGGTTGAGGTTTCACTAGAGCTTCTCCCACTCCCTAGGGGATAGAGGGGGGTGGTGAGGCACCATCAATATAGGTCCGTAGATGAGGTTGAGGCCGGAGGTGGGAGGAAGAGAGGCGTGGAAGGAAGAAGTGGGAAGACAGGGAGAAAAGAAGAAGAAAGCAGTGAGGATAGGTTTGAATGGGTGGGGGTGAGGAAGGAAAAGATCGAAGAAGGAGGATTATGAAGTCTTGAATCAACAGTGATACCGTAGAAGATGGGGGAGAAAGGAGGAGGTTGGGGACTGAGGATAGATGGAAGGAAGGAAGGAGGGTAGAAATAAGACAAGGAGAATAAAGAGAACAAGTGAGAGAGTGGAAGAAGAAATGGAGGGAGAATGGAAGCAGAAATAAAGGAAGATAAACCAGGAAAAGGGAGAAAAAGGAAGAAGAAAGAAGGCAGGAGGATGGGAAGAGGGCAATGTGGTACTTGATTAACGCTAATCTCCGTAGAGAAATAAGGAAGGGAAGATGGGTGAGACAGAGGAAAGTGATGGCAAGAGGGTGTGGAGGAGAGAGTAATGGTGAGGAGGAAGTGAGGGAGGGAGACAAAGGGTGAGGAGGACGAG